TAACAAAATCCCCAAGCACTTCAAATTACAATTTGACATAGTTGCTACCCCTACCTTCAACCCCCGTCAAATGACAGGTACAACCCCTAAATTTTTAAATGAGAAGTATAGGCCTGTGATATATCGTTTTAAAGGTCTCTTCATTGTCTATTCAAAAATGTTACTGCTTTCGAATTTATTACAACAATTGAGATAAAATAAATTAAAATCAAGTGGTTAAAAAATTTGATAAAATACACTTGAAACTTATTGCAACATACTCAAAACTTATTTCATGTTGAGGTATTGATAGGGTAATTCCGGGGGAGACGGCCGTACGGGAGAGATGGCCAATAGAAAAAAGTTCAAGTAATAATCAGGAGATGGTACTAGTCATCGTTTAGTTCGGTTTGAATCGGCACGGGTAACAACTGTCAGTGGATTTTTTGTCGAAAAAATAATGAAACGGTGAGTAATTTGACTTTGTTTTTTATCATGCATGCGAGTCAAGTACTGGGGTTAACGTATTAAGTGATCACAAAAAGCTTTTGAAAGTTATGTCCGTTTTCGTGCTTTTCCAGTGAAGTAATAAACTTCTCCGGTGTTCTAACCTCAAAATTACCCACTAATTCGAGAAATGGCTTTAATCACCTAATGTGGCCATCTCACCCGGACAATTAGGAGAGAAGGCCATAGTATTTACGGGAGAGATAGCCATTAAATTTTATGTCCCAATTTTGATTCATTTTTAATCTGCAATATTTTCTGCAGAAGCCGAACTAATACGTACGGAAGGTGGCTGCTGGTCTTGGTGAATGGAGTGAAGAAGATTTAAAAAATGCTATGGAAGAAGTACAAGATCGAGGGATGACGATTTATAGGGCCTCTTTTATCTACAAAATACCAAGAAAAACACTTGAAACAAGGTTGAAACTATAAATAGCAACACTGAAGGACATATGGGACCGTCATCTGCCTTCGGTACAGATAATGAAAAAAGACTGAGCAAGTATATAAAAGACATGTAGTTGAATTTTTTGTATTAATTAATGTTTTATCCATTATAATTCTTTCACTGTAGAGTTTTAAAGTTACTAGGGCCATCTTCATCGGAATTACCCTAATAAGAAAGTAAGCAAAAACATAGCAATGTTCTTTTCAAATGGTATCCTTTGAAAAAATGTGAATAATTTCCGTGGCAACGTTATTTTAAAACGCCTCATCAACTTGTTTTGAATGTTACAGCATTAGATGTCAGTATTCAAATTTTACTTAAAGTTCGTTAACTTCAAGTCTGACAAATGGTTAGATTAACGATAATGCATAAAATAACAGTTTTACAAATGATTGGTTACGAAGATGAAACCCGAAGATAACACGAAGTAGCTCGCCTATTTCATGAGAAATTTTCGAATTTACCCCCCATATCTCAAGGAACAATAAGCAAAATAGAGAAGCAGTTTCGCAAGCTTGGTCATGTGGGGCAAATAAAAAAAGCAGCTGCCAATGCAATGAGTGATGCACTCAAATTAGATGTGATGCTTAAGTTTGAGGAAAAACCACATACAACAAACAAAAACCTGGTAGAATAGCATAGATATCATGAAGTTGCTAGATTCAATCCAAAAAGCTATTATCCGGCTTTTTCTTGATAAACCTCAATTATGGAAGAAGGTGCCCAACTGACTTATTAGCCCTCCTTATTCCACCCAGAGCTTCGAGATACAACTTAACACACTACGAACTACACTTCTTTAGAAAACTTTCTATAACTGCAGCTTTGTGAGATGAACGTCCGAAGATGATCTTTGGGTGCTTTAGGGTGTTCAGAAAAGGATTGTGCATTTCAAAAAAACTTCAGGGAGGTAATTCAGTGCAATAAACGGCTGCACCAACAAATGTGCGATATGATCAAGAATAATTAAACCGACTTATTCATTGGTAAGGAAAACGAAGAAACAAATTCACACAATTTCTATTTCGATGTAATGTAATTTCGCTTTGTTGTCACGAATGTTCCTTTGGCTATATATTGAATAACCAAAAAAATCCTCCTTCTAGAAAACTATATATGTATAACTCATTTTATGGCATAAAATGGCCTCAGCTCCATTAACGTGTGTTTCTTTTTTCATCAGGTACCTCCCCGATGAAAAAGAAATTCAATCGGACTGTTTCGGTAGCCACCACGATAGCCAATCTACCGAATCAACTACGAGCGAAAGATCGTGACACAGAACAGAATATTTGTTTCTGTTCTGTGATTATAACTAGTTGCAAGCAGTGTTTTTCTTGGTGTTACTTTAGTAACAAAATGTTGTTTCAGACGTTTCAAATCACCAGTTACGTTTTTGAGAAACTTTCAACTGCTGATCGTTCACGCATCAAAAGTGTCAGTTATAATAACTAAGAGTTAACGTATCAAGACGGACGATTTGAGAGCATTTTCACACGTCACTTCTGATACATCAACTATCACTAGATAAATCAGCTATTTTTTTCAGTGGTTACGCAGTAACTTTTCGGGATGAACTTGAGTTAGTCATGTATTACACCTTAGCAAATTCTTTATTGATTTACTATGTTTATTTTTCTGATTCTGGAAGGTTATGTAACCAGAAACAGTAAAAAAATGTCAACAAATAATAAATCAACAATGTTATCAACCTCTCGTCGCGAAATGCTGCACTTGTGTGCGATTCATTAAAAAGTTACAATTTTCTGTCAAATGTTACTTCTATCAACATAATCTGTTAGGAGTTTTTCCCGAGCATGAACAACACTGGTTGGGAGGGATTTTATTTCTTCGGGATGCTCACGGAGTTCATCCCGTCTGAACTGACCCACCCGACACTAATGAGGAGCTAGTTCTCCGAAAACGGCCTGTCTGTGATTATCCCGGTTGTCTTTATCATTTAAATTTTTCATGTGAAAAAAATGTTGAATTTCTTTTCATTAATGTTATTTTATTACCGTTATCACGGCATTTGTTAATGAATCATTTATAAACGAACAGACGAGTCTGTTCGTTTATAATTTACTCATACAAAAATTTCCGTAAACAATGGTTTTCTTTTTCATCGTTTAATAATTTTTCTTCAGAAATCACGAGACATTTTTCAAAAAGTTTAGAAAGTAATTGGAATTCTAAAAACATATGTAACAAAAAAAATTACTGAAAAAATATTAAAAATTACTTTTAATTTAATGGTCCCTTTTTGAAGCTTTCGAATGGACTGTCAATAAATAATTATTTGAATACTTGAATGAAAAAAATATAGTGACAGAGTCTCAATTTGGTTTCAAGCTAAACTCGAGCAATAACGATGATATATTTTTTCTGTTAGTACAAATCAATATGATATAGGAGTCGCGATAATATTCTATGGGATTATTTTATGACCCATGCAAGGCCTTCGGTCCGTGGATCAGGACAATCTTCTTATATACCTACAAGCTTATAGTGTCAGTATAAAATATTTCACGAATAATAAAATATCTAACATCAAATGATCGTATTACCACAAGGTTCTATTCAGGGGCCAATACTTTCCTTCATCCATGTAACTTTTCTTCAGTTCACTTCCAACCGAACCTTCAAACAGTACAGTAGTAGTAGGTACTAGTTCACCTAAATCTTAACTTTGAAATCAGATGACAACCAACAAGTTCAACCAAACCAGGCATTCTCGTTGCTGAAATTTGAAATGGTCCGTCTATATAGAATGACTTCATGATAACAAACAAACTTATACAACTTCAACATCTGCTCATTACTTTTTATGATTGTTTGATGGTGGTTGACAATGTTTCGTGGTGTATTTCATCAGATCGGAGTTCCATTGTCTAATATAATATAAATTGATTTGAAATTACTGAAAAAATTAAGCACCTGAAGCACATCAACAACGTAAGTCCTTCCATCACTTTCGCAATGGAGAAGAAAATCCACAACAAATTGCCTTTCTTAGACGTATTGGTGAAGAGGACCGACACTAAATGGGAAACATCTATATATCGAAAACCCACTCACACAGGACAGTATCTGAACCAGAAATTCAACCACCATCAACCGACTAAGAGAGGAATCATCAAGACTCTACTAGACCGTGCTTTCGGACTCTGTAATACAAACGAAGGTCTCGAAAAGGAACTGGGCATCATCAAAAATGACCTTCAATGGAATGGTTACTCCAGAGTTATGGTAGAATAGGCTTTAGCTAGAAGACAGCAACAGCTCCACAAGGAAGAGAAGTCGCCACAACCAGTACTTGTACTTCCCTACATCAGGGGATTATCGGAAAGGATGAGAAGGATTGGGTCCAAGTATAACATCAGGACCTGCTTCAGACCTGGGAACACTATCCGTAGCAGCCTCACGAAAACCAGGCCACCAAACGCGGACTGCGATTCCAAGAATTGTATTTACCGGATACCCTGCGAGTGCGGAGAATCATACATCGATGAAACAAAAAGGCCATTGAAAGTTCGCATTGCTGAGCACAAGAAACACACACAGCGAGGAGAAACCAGCAAATCCGGAATAGCAGAGCATGTTTGGACTCATCAATTTTAATTTCTTCAGGGATTTCAAATCAATTTATATTATAATAGACAATGGAAGTCCGAACTGATGAAATACTTCTCATGATAGTACAACTGAGGATGCTAATATGTAGGGAAACGAATATTGGAAATAAAGTCTATATTGTGAAAATTTGGTAACTTTTGGCATAGATAATGATATTGTTTTTCACCAAGTGAAGTGTCAGTATATTCGAAATGTCCTTATGAATTCTTAAAAAAATATATATAAATATTCTTTTGTTGTATGTAGTACTGTTCGACGTACATAGAAAAATATATCTGTTGTACATTTCATACAAATATTTTTATACGTCATTAGACTCAACTCGCATGCGAAATGAAAGTATATTTTTTAAACTTATTAGCGTTGTAATGTGGATGTATGTCTGTCTGTATGTCTAGTAGAAACAGTTTTATCGAAAGTAATGACTAGCTAACCATAGAAAACATTTTATTACATAATGTCGGTACAAAAATCAACAAAATGTATATTTTTCAGAAAACACCTGAACATCTATAACGATTATCACCAAAAGAAAATAAGAACGCTTCGAAACATTGAAATAGTATGGAACTATTGTTACATATAATATAACGATTGTAAATACACTTGATACAAGCTTTCAGTAAACCTTGAAAAAAACCTTCGTTTATGAAAGTTTTCAGTTAGAAGTACATTTCATAGAACAATTTCAAAACTAAAATATTTTGATAAGTATTCATTTTCTTAATGTCTCTGCTATCAGCATAAAACCGTCAATTCGGAAACCAAAAAATATTATTAATAAAAATTTATAGGAGTTTCAAGTAATTGAACATCCATTCTTCAATACTTATTTATTCTCGAGTGAAAGCCAAGGTGTAATGAAAAAGTTGCCGTAAATGCGAGTATTGGATTGCATTGATATACAATGGTATTATGAGTTCAATAATGAGGGTTTTAACTTGTAAAAGGTAAATATATATGATAATAATTTGAAATAAAAATTTTGGTTGAGTTAGTTAAAAACCAATTTCAATCTATCAAACATCTGAATACTTTCGGCAGGACTCCGAATTGACGCAAAGACAATGGTGTGATTCAAACTATTGAATCGAACTCAATGGAACAGCTGTAGATAAATAGTAAACTGCTCCTGAAAGAGTACTTTCGTTTGATATCAATTGCGCTCTAATACACAAATTACTCAGTCACTATCATCGTCGTTTCGAGCCCTATTCAACGGTCTTCTACTTTCTTCATCAGACCCGTAGATAACATCTTCATCAGAGTCGTTTATCATTGAGAAGGCAGGATTATCTTTGGTGATCCCAAGTTCTGAAAATGAAATCGATTGTTTCAAGTTATTCCATTCCTCTAAGCAAAATATCAGTCATGAGACCTCGACACACAGTGAAATAATCCTCCCAATATCGTTTAAAGATGGAAATACTGTTGAAATAAATTTTTCTCGGGAATATACTTTTAGTTACTCCAAGCATCTTGTGAAATATAATTTAGCCCTAGAGCAAATTTTCTAATGACCACAGCTGATTACTTGCTTATTTTGAATAATAATTGGAGAATTTGAAACGAAGATTTTGAGTTTTTTCAAAACTATACCTCACGATTTGATCTCCACACACTTTGAAAAATATATCACAACATGTTTCGCTAGCACAGTAGCTTTCTCAAGTGATTAAAAAAAAGATTTTGAGTATTTGTCAAAGCTATACGCCAGAAGAAAATAAGATAAAAATACATCCACTTAAAGGCTAGTTGAAAACGTTATGATCCACTTTTAGGTAGATCTAGTGTCCGACCGAAACTGGTTTTTACGACCGAAACCGAAACCGAAAAGGAATTTCGGCAATGGTATCAGTTTCGGCCGAAACCGAAACTTCCTTACAAGGATTATGTTTTGAGGGAAAAATAAAGAAAACGTTATTATAATCAGTCAGTCTTCATTTTTTTATCTTTAAATCACAACGTTATGCAGATAATCAACATAAAAAACCCTTATTTAAGAAAAATATTAATTGCACCTTAAAAATACTTAAAATAGGTGAGGTGTTTATTTGAGTAGATGTAGATCCTTCTTTTAAATATTATTGATGGGTTTTCAAAAATATTAAGCATAAAATTACTTATTTGAGTTGTTACCTAATATCTCTTGTATGAAATTTAACCAGCCGAACATGTCCGATCACAGCGCGGGAACTCCCGAATGCAGTTTCGGTTTCGGTCGTAGTTTCGGCAAGTTTGCCGATGAAAAAGAAACTTAACCGAAACCCGTTTTTTTTGCCGAAACTCGACCGAAACCGAACTTTCGGTCGGACACCAGGCAGATCCTACCATTCATCCTACCCCACAAGAAAAACTCTAACGGGATCAAATCCCACGATCTTGATGGCCAGTTCACATCACCTCCACGTGAGATGACTAGGCCCTCAAATCGCTCTTGCTGAATATACAATGTAGCATGAGCTGTGTGGCACGTAGCGCCTTCCTGTTGTAACCACATGTCGTTGGTGTCCAGATCATCCAATTCAGGTGAAAAGAATTTGATAGTGATGGCCTGACAAACATGTTTCTAGAAAAAATATTGACGGATGACGCCGCCAACTCAAAACCCACATTGAACAGTGACTTTTTCGGGATGCATTATACGCTCTTGGATCTCATGTGGATTGGTATCGTCCCAAATTCGGCAATTTTGTTTATTCAAGTACCCATTCATCCAGAAATGGGCCTCATCGCCGAAGATGATTTTTCGGGAGCCCATTCAGCTAATACACGTCGTTGTATGTGGCCTGTTCATTGGTCAGTTGAATTTTGTACGAATGCAGGACCAAGTCACGACGCAAAATTCACCAAGTTGTTGTCTGCGAAAGGCCGAGTTCTTGTGAGCTACACGAAATCGACTGCTTCAGATTCTCCTGCATTCTCTCACAGATACCAGCGATGTTTTCGACAGATCTTGTATTTCGTTGACATACGGGTGTTGGTCGATCGTTTAGTGACCCAGTGGACTCAAATTAACCCACCACATTGCAAATAGTCCTCTCGGTATGCGAAGCGCGCGGTACAACAGAACAGAACACCCATTTTGATAAAACAATTTTATTATTTGCACGTCTTATTGGATGCTCTATACGTCCATGGTGATTTGGCAAAACAGATCGAATAAATTACAACTAATTTGAGAGATGCAGCTTCAACAAGATGGCCGTTACCAATTGTGAAAGTTTGGAAGTACTTGCTGGAAGACCCTATATAAAGCTGCAATGTTGAAACTTGAAACTCAGTTTTTTTCTCAAAATCACACTCATACCTTCAATTACAACTATAAACACTACCAAATGAAGGGCAAGAATACCTTATATTTTTTAGTTCATTTCTCAATTGGTAATCTTTATTTGAAAAAATTGCGATGAGATGAACATGAATATTTATTATGGAAAATTATCCATAACCCCCAAAGCAAGGGTAGATATTACTCTTAGAATCTTTCAGAATCTTAAATGGGAAGGGGCACATCATTTTGATTGGCGTTCAATTCTGCTTCTGCGTTCTAAACTTACACATGTAATTAGAATTTGCCCATTTTGAGATGCATTATTGTATTGACTCCTTTCAATAAAAATGGTGATCAATGTATTAGGCGTGGGATTTTTTATTTGTTGGTTATTGTCCTTTTACAAAATAAAATTTAATTCGCGAGAAAGACATTTCAATCATAAAATTTACTTACGAATATCTTATAAACATTTCGAAATGTTCATTTTGCTCTAAACAGTAATAAAGTATGTTTTCAAACTGCCATCGGACATCACGGAAAACTTCACAAGGAATTGACTGGCATGCTGCTGTGATTCGTCTATTAAGTTCTTCAATATCAAAAGGTTGTGTTTTATGAACAACGGATTTAAAATGCCCCCAAAGAAAGAAATCTAAGGATGATCTCGGAGGTCATTCAACTGCTCCCCTTCTGCCAATCCATAATGAAATAATGAGGTAGAGCATCGTACTGCAAAACAGTTCATTACCTTCTGCATACATTTGAGTTTCTAGCTTGAGAGGATCGATAGTGTATTCAAGCATTTCAAGGTACAAATTACCAATCAAGTTTTCTTGCAGAAATAATGGACCAATAATGGCATGTCCTAACTTTTTGTGGGTGTTGTATATGCCCTAACCACAATATGTGGGTTTTCGTCATCCCAATAGAAACAATTTTGTCTATTAACATTGTCATTCAGAAAAAATGAACACTCATCGCTGAAACAGATGTTTAACAGTAGATTAGGGATGGTATTGACTAAATGAGACATGATTTCTCTTTCACAAAACTTTATTCTGATATCACAATCATCCTCGTGGAGCTCTTGAAGAATCTGCATTTTATAAGGATGACATTTGAGCATTTTCGATGCTTTTCTTTTAGTCTCGCATAGCATTCCCTTCTGTTCTGATACTGATCGTAAGGAGCTCGTGGGCTCTGCAGCAAATGTTCTCAAAACTTCAATTTGAGCTGCTTCATTCAGTACTCTGGGGTTATTTCTTTTTTTATTTGTCACTGAACTAGTTTGATAAAATGTATTCACCAAATCAATCACATACCGGTGACATACATTACAATTTGAATGTCTTTCGTTCAAAAGACATGACGCCCTTCGTGCGCACTTCCCAACTTCTCCATAAATTACAATCATTTAAATTACATTCTGAAGAATGTAAATTATTTTTACACTTTTATATACTTGTTAAAGTAATTACTAAACAGTTCAACAGGTATATCTGTATGCACAATAGTACCACATCGTTCAAATTTGCGAACCAATTTTTTGCCTGAAAACAGAAACTTCTTACCGCAGAAGTAGCAAAAAAGGATGGCTATCTGTAGACTTTCTTCGATGAGAATTAAAAATTCAGCATTTACTCAACACAGATTTACTATCATCTACGTTTAAAAAAAAGACTGCTTTTGATGTAATTAATGAGCCAATGGGTAATGTTATCCCTGATCAAGGGATAACACCACCTAATATTCTAACCAGTTCTGGTCAAACCATGCATCTCAGTATAGGCATATTTATAATTACTTCTGTTAGTTAAGAACAATACTTTTCGAAAAATGCTTATCAAAAAATAATGTGTCAGATTATCATTGCAAACAGAATTGTACGCCAATCAAAATGATGTGACCCCCCGTCTAATTTAAAATTATAAGCGTAACATCTACCCCTCTTAGGTGGTTCAACTAGAGGGCTACAAATAGTATTCGAAAGTGCCCCCCTTGACAATAAAATTGTACCGTGTTTTTCGATTCCTCATATTGTTTACTGGAAGAAAGATATAAAGGGTGGAAAGTTTTCAAATTGACACCATGATCTGCTTAATAGGGGACGAAGGTAAGAGTGTTCGTTTCTCCTTTATGTGTTGGTATAAGTTACAAAACTGAAAAGTTTACAAAACCGCCGTGGTTTTATAAACTGTCCAGTATTGGTGTTACTTGAATGATGTATACTCATCAAGTATCGGCCAATTCAATCACATATAATTTTTCCACCAATTACATAAGAACAACAACCAAAAAAAACAGCGCTGCCCCTCGGCATCTATTAAGTAGCAACGTGTTACAATTCAATTGACAAATTATATGTGAACCCAAAATAATTCTTTGGGTTGTGATTGGTTCAAATTTTGACATTAGGTATTAAAAGAATGTAAATATTCGTTATATTTTACACAAAACAAAAAAAAAACGAAAGCAAAATCCAGTTATCAGCAAAATTTTCCAATGAAATTCAAATTTATTTACAAGGTTCTTCACTCACCATGTATATTTTTGTTGCCTGGAGAATAAACGTATGTCATCGCATAAAGATAAAAATTCAGCAATCCATAGAAAGACATGAATTGAGATGAGTTGCTATAATGAGTCGAAAGTTGGGCTACGAAGTTATCTTCCAGTACTCCAACTCCAAATCTCAAAACAGTTATAATACAGCTTATTATCAGAACAACCAACATGAGAAGCGTGAGGAACTTTAGTCTGAGACCTGTAAAAACAATAGAATTCTCATTTATGTCAAGTATAACCTGTTTTCAAATAAGGGGTATTTTCGAGGTAGTTTGAATTTGCACCGTATAGAACCCACTCAATTTGGACTTACCAAAGATAATAATGTATACAGGGTGATTCAAAAGTACTTTGACAAACTTCAGGAGGTGATTCCTCACAATATTCTAATATGAATTGTCCAAATAAATAAATGTCCGGAAACGCTTCGTTTCCAAGATACAGGATGTTGAAGTTTTATTTTTATTTTCGTTTTTTTCAAATAACTTTTGAAAAACTGAACTTAATTAAACGAAACTTGGTAATAGGAGGTTTTTGAGGTGTCGAATTCGAA